GATTACCTACAACAGAACAGCAATGCATTTTATGGACGACCGTTTCGTGAACCTAGGAGAGGAGGTAATTCTGATTTTGCTATGACAATCTGGCGCTTCTGAATCAGCTACTGTTTTGTTATTAGTTTAAGTATTTGCTATTGACTTTTCAAATGCGGAGTTTTGCGCTTCGTGTGTGTGCACGCACGTGTGAGAGAGAGAGAGAGAGAGAGAGAGAGAGCGAGAGAGAGAGAGAGACAAACAAGGTCACATCACAGTGGAGTCAGCTGTCTTAACCGTGGCTTGTGTACTGCAAACACATACCAGCTTCATCACTGTGTCTGTCACACGACTCTGTTCACCTTATGGGCTTGAACTGATGGTAAAACTAATGACATTATTTACTGTCTTTACATTTATTTTGAAAGCTGACGCTCGCGATTATGGTAAAGGGCGTTACATTTCCGACGAGTGCTTGCGGTGTTCGGCCAATCGAAATGCACTGGGTCAGCTGGCCAATCAGAGCAGACTGCGCTTGTCGGAAGGAGGGAATTTGTAGAAAATTAAGCATTTGAGAGAGGCGGGGCATAGAGGACCTACAATAATGTACAGTATTTGAAAAATAATGTGTTTTTTGAACATTAAAGCATGTCAAAATATTCTGTTACACCAAATACCCCAAATAATGATCTTTAAAAAAGCATAATATGACCCCTTTAACATCGTCATGTACATTACCATGGCAATCATTCCAAGAGTTGTCATGACAGAAATAAATAAAAAATAAATAAAAATGATAACTTTGTGGCTCCTTTTAAAGGATAACTTACACTTTTCCATTCTGTGTGTTTTAAATGGCAGCATGTACTTGTTGATTAGTGTAAATTCAGATAAAACTCAAAGGTAGGGTAGGCAATTTTTGGAAAGGCTAGCGATAGCAAACTAGCTTCGAAAGCAAGATCCCCACCCTCCCTTCATAATCACTTTGCAAAGCCATGCCTCCTCCAAAACACATGAACGTGCACAAGCAGAGCAAAGACTAACCTGCAACATGATGAGAGACACCATTGGTGGAGGATTGAATGCAATCCTCATTCACCGGTGAGAAACATTACAGTACAAAGCGCATAATATTACAATAACAGCGCCCTTCATTCTCGCTGGAACGCATTGATGACGTATCATGTCTGCGCAAACAGGGTTTGCAGAGGTATGCAAATACATATTTGACTGGCAGGCAGGACAGCCTATCATAATGTTCGGACAGAACATTTTGATTGGACGAACATTATAAGGTCCTACACTTTCCACAAACGATATAAATACATATAAATTCATTTAGACCACTTAAATTAGTATTTGCAATCAGGATGTGAAGAGACTTTCAACCACCATAACAAAAAATGTTTTTGAACCATATCACCTACCCTGCCTTTAATTGCCACTGTAGTTTTGTTGTAGTGATGCAAAATGCAGTGAAAAATTCAGTACCTTTTAACTTTTTAACTCATACAGTGCTAATATATTGGTGTGCATTTGAGTGTAACTAGTGAAGGGTGCTATTTTTTTTAAATATTTTTTGAAGCACTGCTTCGTGAAGCTTTGAAACTTTTGTGAATCAATTGTTTCGAAATAGTGGGTCGGAGCACTTATCAAACTGCCTAAGTCACGTGACTTCAGTAAATGACGCTTCATTACATCGTAGCTCTTTCGAAATGTTTAGAAATGTCAATGGTTTGCCAATGGGGTGCGATATCAATAAACCTGTGAATCATGCAAGCTCATTGTGCTCGCCTCCTAGACTTCTTAATGAGACATTTGTGTAATTAAAAGGATGAGAATTAGTTAATAGTCTCGTACTGGTCTCTATTTACAAAATCTCCATAAAACAACAAAACAAGCCCTGCAAATTAATATGAAATATTTAAAAAACCACATATTATACAGACACTTCATGTTTAAACGGGCTTTTAAAAGTTGTTTTTATGCATATTTTAGCCTGAGT